TTTTTTCTTTTGTAATTTTTTTATTCCATGTTCTATGTGCTACACTCTATATAGAGGATCATCTTCCTCCTGATCCAGAATGAACGGGGTAAAAAGTCCATACCGTGACTACTGGGCTACTAATTGAGCCCGGAATCAAGCTTAAAAAGGCTCTCCACTGAAGGCTGAATAGCCCCTCCTTCACGGAAATGTCACTTTTACGTTAAAGCCCAAAACCTATCTTTGAAGCCTTTCAAAGTAAAGAATGGTGATACTAGTTGTAACTTTGTTGCTGCCCATTCCCTGCATATATGCGATTCCTTATGAATATCATATAGTGTTGCAATGAATGGTCTACTATTGACCGAATTAGGAAGAAATTAGTCTTTTAAGGTACACAAATTGACCTGAAGACACCTAATTGCTAACAAAAAAAAGTCATATTAAGACATATAGAAGTCATTATACTCCATCTAAGAATAATTGTTTCATTTTGATCAAAATTTTGTCTCAAATTAACTATCCCTTTTACATTTCAAGGTGAATTAATTGTTTGTTTACCATTTTAACCCAACAATTAATTCTCACTTTTAATATTTCTCTCAACAATAATTAAAGAAGAAAATGAAAAAAAAAATATACATTAACTATAATAATAAATTACAATTTATTGAAGTGGCGGCGGACGTGGCGGTGGTGGAGGAGGAGGAGGGGGTCAAGGTAGTGGTTGGGGCTGTGGTGGAGGTGGCAGCCATGGTGGGTGCCCATTTTGGGGATGTGGTGGCCGAAAAAAATCAACTGGAGGAAGGAAGACTGGCCCTCCTAAATCTAAAAAACCTTACGGCAAAATCATATGTTAAACCCCTGAATTAAATTTAAATTTGTTATTGAGTTCTCAAAGTTTAATTGATGCATATAAGTTTTTTAATTTCATAATCTGAGCAATTTAGTCCTTATTCTTAATTAAAGAATTAAGGATTAAATTGTTCATATTATAAAGTCTAGAGACTTAGATACATCAATTAAAGTTTGCAAATTCAATAATTAATCTAGATTAGTTTAAAAATTTAACATATGGTTTTGCCCAAACCTTACTGCCAACTACTACTTACCAAACACACATAGGATGGTCAACTCAATTATACTGAGCTTGAGTCCACATGCACGGAGGCCCTTACCTTTGATTTGTTTCTCTATAGTCCATACATCTCTTAGTTCATTTTTCCCTTAAATTCCATTGAAGTTTTCTAATGATTGATCTCTTGTCCCGGATGATTTATGCAAACTCTCTTATATGAGCAAATGAAGAATGAACAGATTTGTTATTTAAATGTCAACTTCTTTTTCTTTTATACATGTGTTACTCTTTTTTTTTTTTCCCCAGTAGAGTGAGGGAGATTTCTGATTTGGGGTCGAACCCAGGTCATGAAACTGGTATTTCTGTGTGATGGCCCAACTCTCAACTCTTTTTTCAAGTGTCTCAGGTCCAAGCCTTTTTTCAGGCCTACCCACAGAATGAATAACTAATAACATATAGTGACAGGCCCAATCAAGTTAGACACACTAATATATTAAAGACTGTCTACAATTTGATCATTTTTATTTTACTTATTCGAATTTACAAAACAAAGAATTCTAAGTTAAATTTACCTGGTTTAACATAAGATTAAGAATATAGGTTGGTGTTATAGGAATAACTTTTTTGATTTATCTTTTTATACAACTTTCACATTGTCATTAAATGAGTGAATGCATTTAATATCATAAGTTTCATATGAATTAAAAAAAATAATTATGTTAATAACACATCAAATTATACAAAAATATAAAACAAAAAAGTGATACAAAAAGTATTTCCCAACAATATATATATAATGGTGATTCATGATTGAAGGGAAATATCAGTATCAAATCAATCCCAGCAACAGATTGCATTTTTGTTGGGAAAGTTACAAATGGCCCAGAAGATGGACGGCAGGGATAAAGAAATTATACTTCTCTAATGCAAAGCACAAAAATGCCAAAGACACGTGATTGAGCATCCTAGTGCTAGTGCTAGTCAAAAAGGTCGGATCATCAAGTGTCACTACTCACTACCATCCATTTGGAAAATGGAGGGGAAGTCAAGAACTAGGAGCGAAGCTTGTAGTTGTAGTAGTAGCCTTTGGACTTTTCTAAACGAAGGGCATGGGACGCTCCGACTAAAGGGCCTGCTTTTAACTTTAACGTTCTACTTGATTAAAATAATCCAATTTAAGAGGAAAATTTTACCTTTACATAAGTTTTATATAATATATTTATATAAAATTTTAATTTTTTATTTTTAATAGTTAAAATTTATTATAATTTTTTAATAAAAAAAATTTCAACCATTAAAAATTAAGAAATTATATATTAATCAAGATTTTATATAAGTATTATTTGTAAAATTTATGTATAAATAAATTTAAATTCTCAAATTAAAATATAATCTTAATTAATGCTTTTAAAATTGGACAAGACTAGCCAATCAACCTATCAAATTAGCCATCGGTCATGAAAACAATTTGTCAAAATAAAGCAGCTTAGAGATTAAACCAGTCAAAACTAAGTAGTTTAGTGGTAAAATTTTTAACTAGTGATCAAAATGGTTTGATAACCAATTCAACTTTAAAAACAATAATCTTAATTTTAATCTATTGACACATAACATGAATACATATTAAGATTAAGAATCTTTTTTTTTTTTTTTTTGAATGCAGATTAAGAATCTATTTAAACCAATTAGTGTTTTATAAATTGTAGATAAAGATGAATTTCCCATATTGATTCATATGGAATTTGTATAATTAAATTTGACTGAAGAAATGTTCACGCACCAATTCAATCATGAATTTACTCAACACTAGATTAGTGGATTGATCTTCAAAGAGGATTCATTCAATTCGAAGATTTAGATTCAAACATATGATCGGTTTAGAAACTCCGTATGTCCTCTCTATTTTTGGACCAATAATTCATTTAGCTTGAAACCCTTTGAAAGTAAATTTTCATTTATAAAGGTGGTTCTATAGTTCAAGGAGAGGAACCATTTTAGACAATCTATCTTCCATCCCTACCAGACTTTTGCTTTTGCACTATTTTGAGTGGTTGGAACTTGGTGGGAGAGAGCCATCATGTGATTTCCACACAACAATTATGAGAAATTATTCCTCTTTTACAATTTTTGAATGTTTAGTAGAATAAATTTGTGTAGTTGATTAAAGTGGAGTTTATATTTTAGTCTACCAAACAACATACAATAAATTTTTGACATTATAGTTTTTAAAGTCATAAAAGTAATCAAATAAAACCTTGTAAATAAATAAATACTAAACATGTGCTATTCATATAGAAATAATCAAACATAAAACTTCAATATTTTAAAATATTGGCATTATATTTATCAAAAAAAAAAAAGCCCTTTACATTATCAATTTGGCCATGGGTGTTAATATGTACTAATTAGTAATTTTTTTTTCTCCTTTCAAACCTATATATAAGCAATTTAAGTAAAGAAACACCAACCAAAAGAATAGCTGCAGACCTCTAAAGAGGAAGAAACTGAATAATGGATAGGAAACATTAATTTCTCTTGAATAATATGACCTACAACTTGTAAAAGGAAAGCTAGAAAATTAAAAGGGAAGATATTACTACATAATAACTTGTAGCTCGTTAGAAAAGGCTATAAATCCAGGGGAAGAAACAACTTTGGCGCTTCTATTCATGCAGTTGTTAAGATTATATTAATGAAAGTAACAAATTGCTTGCATTTGACTCTTCTAGCCAACAAATGTCATCTAAATAGTTATTAACGATTCAATAATACCTCAATTAGCATCATATCAACCCCACAATGTCAACGCACTTGTTAAGCTACTCTCATTCGGTTGACCCAAAACTTTTGTCTGATCTTATTGGATTCCAAGTCAGTAAGTTACTAACATAATTCTTTTTGTTAATCAAACTTTCCTAATCTCAAATTTAGAGTTTTATTTTACAAGGTTTATAATACTGGTAAAACCTTCGTATCCAAATTTTAAATAGGGGTAAAGATAAATTTATCTCTTAAAAAAAATGTAAAGACATTAAATTGTTTCTTCAAATTATAAATCAAGACAAATCATTAATTTTTTAACAAATTTTATTTGCTGCATCAAGATTTTTTAACAAAAAACTGAAGTCACACGTTAAAAATTAAGTGATTTATTTTTATTTATAATTTAAAAAAAATTTATTTTTATATATTTTTTAAAAAGTGAATCTATCTTTACATTCTTATTTGAAAGGTGGATGGAGAGATTTTACCTATAATACTGTAAGTCTTGTAATCTGACCGTGATAATTTACCAATTAAAAACAGTAAAAACACAGTGAAGAGTAGTTGGAGGAATCAGATATGCTGAATACGAAGGCAATGTTTCAGGATGGCATCAAATGTCACCGGCTTCAATGAGAAGGTAACCCAACAGACAGCCTCAGAGCTCTGTGCAGTTCAATTCAGAAGATAGCGCTTGGTTATTGAATTGAAAGGCCCCCACCCTACCTCCTTCACTTTAAGATTGCTTCCCAGTCCCCACTCCCTTACCCACTTCTTTTGTAGTCCTCTCATGTTCCATTTATAAGGAACAATCAACATAATCCGAAAACCCCAACACAGCCCACATGTTGTCCGAATTACAAACATCATTCACCAAGAATCATTTCCTAAACCCCTTAAAAAATCTCAGAATTAGTGCATCTCACGCCACCTCGTAATTCTCCCTTGCCCGATTGAACACCTCTTGTTCCATTCATGATATCCTTGCTTTCTAACGGCCACCAGAAAATGGGTTCAACGGTTTCAATTCATTAAAAGAGCTCCAAGTTTTGCAGTTCTCGGTGCACTAGAAAGGACCATCCCTCTTCAATAATTTTAGTCATATATTAAAAAAAAATTAATCGAATTTATATTTATTAATTTTAAAATTTTAAGACTTACTTTAACACTTTTTAATATAATTAATATTTATTAAATTTAATACTTATTATAATTAATATTTTATATATTTTTAAAATAATAAAAAAACATAAAATCAAAAGTTAAAAGACCTAAAAATGTTGTAAACCTAATTTTTATAATATTAATATTAAGTAATTAACCATTTAATGAAAAAAATAATTATATTGCAACTGTTTAAATTGTAAAATATTTTTTAAAAAAAATAAAAATTATAAAATTATAAAAAAATAGAGTAGTACTACAATGAAAAATTAAAAATTAAAGTTCTCCCTAATCTGTTATATCCGAGAAATTTTAAAAATTAAAAACAATATACAAAATTTAATCTATTCTAATCTAACTCGGCCCCCTGTCAATCTATCTCTGCTGTCCTGTATTCCTGATTAATCTATTCCGTCAAAAACTAGGCAGGGCAGGAGGGAGGAGGCAGACTTGGCTCCGGCTGTCCTAACATATCCTTCTTCTGCCGCATTTCCAGTACCTTCCGGTGGTGGTTCGAGTGCAATTCGCTGGAAAAAGTCGGGCTGCAAGCTGGTCTGTACTCTGGTAAAAGCCGACCCGATTTGTAACGGACCCCACATGCATTGCACAAGGTCTTTGTCCCGAGCGGACCGGCTCTCCACTGAGGAGTTTTTGTGACGCCACAATGACTGCACCTACGTTGCAGCTGGCTCGCAGTACAACCGGCTGAATCAGTTCCCAGTTTCTTCTTTTGTTTCTTGACCGGTGGTGGTTTCTCGTAGAAAACTGGTTCATCCGGTTCAAGTGTTGAACCGGAACCGGGAATTGGGTTTGTGTAGATAAGCAAGGGACTCGAAAGGCCACAGGACGATGAAGATGACGACGAACTTGACGAAGGCTCCGTTGCTGGAGGGGAACCAACAAGAGACCAGCTCCGGCCGCCGGTTCTTGTGCGCTTGCTTCTGGTTTTGGCCCGAACTGGCGTTTTAATGCTTGTGACCGGGCTCTTGGGTTCGGGCCTGCTATCGATGTTGGTCTTGGGTTTGGTCGGAATAACTTCGGGAGGAAACGCTGCGGAGTACTCCGAGTTGGAATCCTCCACGAAATGGGACAGCCATTCGAGTTCCAAAACATCATCCGCCTGTAAATTTTGCACCTTTTTAGCATGTCAACTATTGAAAACAGAGAGCCCTAAACAGAGCACTGAAAACCTAAAAAGGAAAAAATGGTCCTCAGAGAGGAAATAAGAGGAAAAATTACTGGAACGGAGAGTTCGCTGGCGGGCAGGGACTCAAACTCAAAACTGGTGCTTTCGTTGGAGGAAAGGTCCTCCGGGTCTTTCTTTGAGGGGTAAGCAGAGGGAGAAAAAGTGGGAACCTTTTCTTCTTCCTCTTCATCATGCTCTTGTTCAAGGAAGCCCTCCTCATTAGACAAGTCAAGGAACTCCTCCACCAAAAAATCTTCGCCGGAAACCCCATTCTGCCCATCAACCGCCCAAAAATCATCAAAAGACGGTTGGGGTGCTGGTTTAAACGCCAACTCCTTCCTAGAACTGGTCTTCAAAGCCGCTTCAATGCATTCCATTTCCTACATAACCAAGAAAACGAATTTCAAACGACCCAAAACTCAAATTTTAAATTCTTTTGGAAAAAATCTAAACTTTCTATTCACCTCTTTCGAAACAGGGGAGAAATTCGATACCTGAAGAGAAGGGGAAACGCGAGGGATGGTGGATGGAGGGCAAGGAATGGAAGTGAAGGAAGGGAATCGGATGAAAAAGGGATTGTGAGTTTGGTAACGCATTGAATGAGAGCCTGAAAGAGTTCGTAGGGTTTACTAAAAGTGCCCGTTTCTTTTCTGTTTATCCCTCCTTTCTCCTCCCTTCTTTAATTTTGTTTCACTTTTTTTCTCTCTCTCTTCGAGGTAATCTGCATACAGCGCAGTTTGAGTTTTTTAAAATTCTTACGTCTTTGTACGTTTCGATTATTTATAAACGCCACAGCTCAAAGCTCGTAAATATGGAAATTTCGTTTGCTTTGGAAGCACCCGCAGCCTCGTCGCCGTTTTGGGTCGGGACTAAATCAACTGCTTGACGGGTTCTGGAATTTTTTAACGAAAAATTCTTGTAAAGTTTGGAATGAGTCCGGACTGATGATTTGAAAACGGCCCATCAAGAATAGTTTTTTTTTATTAAATTATTCATGTTTTATAAGTAGATATAATTCGACGGTAAAATAATTTTTTTTTTAATATTGTAAGTACTACCCTCTCTAGCCTAGTTTATTTGTTCAAAATGTATTTTAAGTTATATATTTTTAGAGTATATGTATTTTTTAAGGAAAATTGTATGTATCAATTACTATTTCAAAAATATTATTTTTAAATGAATATTTTTTAAAATTAACAACTAATTTAGAGATTATTTAGTTTAATAGTTTGAAATTAATAGTTAATAGT